CACTGTTGGGGGGCCCACCCCCCTGTTCCTCTCACGCGAGCTGAGGCTCGCGGTTGGACCGCGAGCCAAAAAGAAGAGTTGTTTTTTATGTGACTAGCATGATGGGTTCGTCCATGTGGCTATTTTTTTGCTGCTTAATGTGTCGCCAACACATACCCATTATTTTCAAACATCAATGTAACTATCAATTTTATTATACAAAATGCTTCAAGCTCAACACAAAAATTGACGGAAAATAACTTAGTTCTGGGGTTTGAGATCTGTATATTGGTGACAATGATGAGTGACAGTTAGCTAATTCCATACTATAATTAACAATTTTATTTAGTTGTTTGGCAGATTGAAAGAGGATCTTTAAGTATGAAAGTCATTTTTTCTGCAAGTATAAAAGCACGTCAATATTGTCATGCAAGTGAAGTAAAGTGTTTCAGTGCCAACAAATTATTCTTCAATGTAGAGAAGAAATGATGTGGGCATGTTCTTATTCATCCATTCAGTATCATTGTATATTTTTTTGTCATTTAAATTAAATGTTTGATAATTAGAAAAAACTAATTAATTTACAGTGAGATATAGATAACTAAATAAAATCATTCTAACATTTCACTACGGAGAAACCTATGATAAAGACTCTCATTGTTAGTTAGATAATGTCAAAGCCGAGTAATGATAAGTTGTTATGATATTATAAAATCCAAACATAAGTTTGCACAGAAGTAATTGTGAAGTAGCTGAAGTAAAATAAGTAGAGGCTACTTCTGTTACTTCCAAGCAAAAAAGTGTGTTTAGTTCTCTGAAAAACTTACTTCCAATACTTCCCTAAATGCTTATGTGGCATCTACGTGTCATCTTTACTTCCAAAATTTTTTTCCAATCCTCAATACTCAGAAGTAGCTCGGAATTGAAGTAGTTGAAATGCATATTAATTATGACATAAATAAATTTTTTATTAATATTTCATTTATTAGTTACTTCTAACAACTTTTCATTGATAAAATTACTTTCTAATAATATTTTCAAATGTTATCCAAACAGAAAAAGTAAATGAAGAGGAAGAAGTTCTACTTCCATTACTTTTAAAAATATATGAAACAAACAAAAAAAATGTTATTTTTACTATTTCGTACTTCATAGCTTTGAAAGTTACTTCTATAACCTACTTCTTACTTCTAATACTTCCATTATCCAAACGGGCAACTCCACTATAACACTCCAATCATGATACTCTTAAGATAAGAATATCAAAGTTAGTTTAGATAACATCAAAGATAATACTGATAAGGTGCTATGTATCAATATATAACCCAGCATTAAACATATTATGTCCACTGTAATTATAGAATATTGGTCACCAACAACTTGGAAAATTCCTTGCATCTCAATCACTAGAGGTCCACTATACAGCGCTAAATTGGCTAACCCCCACATTACACGGTCAATGTCTCCGCAATAAACGGTGCATATGAGCTCCACTACACAACAGTTGTACAACAAAAGCAAATTTTGTTCTCTTTAATTTATTTGTTTATTGGCTAAATTTTTGTCCCTTGTACTCGTAGATAGCGGCTACCCGTGTTATTTCCAGCTGTAGGTCGATATGATACTTCCACCAATTTCCAATCAATATTCAAAGGAAAAAATAACTATAAAATACTGAATAGTTCATGGATCTATATATTCCCATTTCAAGCGGCGGGGGGTTGACATTTTGCGCCCTTTCTACTGAACATTTTAACGAGAATGACGTGTTTACATTATCAATTTAAATTAGTGCCACCAGTAAATAGTAGTACAAATGAATAAGATACCAGTGTAATCAAAATATATATGTTTACAGTACAATCACCAACTTTCAAATATATGTTAGAACATGTGTCACACAGAAAACTCTAAAAGGACCCTCTATAGAATGTCATGGAGGAAGAAAGGAGATGATTGCATCTAATATATTACATGCAATCACTATTAATACAATCATCTACCTACGGGTACAGTTATAGCTACATTGATAGACATTAGTAATATATACATTAAGATTAACAATTATATTTGCTTTGGTCATTTTATTTCCATCTATGTAATATCCTCTAAGGGCATGTTTGATTGCCACTTTTTAAGAGTTTTTAGGGTTATAATACTTTAGGTGTCTGGCACTACGATATTGCAACTAACTCCTATGTTTCGTGAGTTACAATGGTCACGTTACTGTAACTAAATTGCCTACTAGTGTAGCTGAATTGGTTAGCCCTCAGCAATTTCTAGTAAAAAGTTAGGAAATGGAGTCATGTTACTATAGTCGTTAGGCATTGCTAGACCACAATTTCGCATCATTGTAGCAACTAGGCGTTTTACAAAAAAATAACCAAAGAGGCCCTTGGATTTTTTTTTTTTTTTTTTGCCCACAGCCAAGCAAGGTGATGCTCTTTCTACCCCCACCAGATGTCCAAACCACAAACTTGTCGTACCAATCACACTCACATACAAAGTATCCAACCTTACACCGCGTCAAGTGACATTTTTGTAACCTCATGTTTATCATTCTAGTTCTCTATATATCTCTTTCAAAACACACAAACACAAGTACGCATTCTTCCTAACAAACAAATATTCCTCTTCTCTTCAACAAAAATCAGGGGACCATGGATTACTACTCAAGCATAGCAGATCTCCGACGGATCTTCGTCCGTTTCGACTCCAACGGTGATGGCAAGGTCTCTTCGACTGAGCTCCGGCTCTTCATGTGGAGCGTAGGAGAGGAGCTTATCCCTGAGGATGCTGCCTCTGTAATCCAATCCATTGACTTAAATGGTGATGGGCTATTGGATTTTGATGAGTTCGTTAGGTTGATAAGTGGAAAAGGAGATAAAGAAGAAGAGGAGAGAGAGTTGAGAGAAGCATTTGGGATGTATCTAATGGAGGGTGAGAGGTTTATTACGGCTAAGAGCTTGAAGAGGATGCTTAGTTTGTTGGGTAATTCTAGAAGTTTTGAGGAGTGTAAGGTTATGATTAAGAGGTTCGATGCTAATCAAGATGGTGTTATTAGTTTTGATGAGTTCAAGACTATGATGCTTTGAGCTTAATTGATCGAACTTTCTTTTTTCCATTGATCTATTAGTGCAAAGTATGTATTAGTTAGTTGATTGTATATGGTTTTGTCGACTTGTAAGTAGTTTATGAGTTGTGTTTTTAGTGTGAAAGAATTGAATGTGAAAGGGAAATATTGGGTTAATTATTTTAGAGTAAAGAAAAACAGAGTTTCATATGGGTTTTCTCATGTCAATTTTTGGCCTTGAGCTAGTTTTATTTACTTGATCAAGAACTAAACCACTACGGACTAACAACAGTTTTAAGAGGACTTGTGAAATTAACCATAATTGAAGGCGGGCTTTTCAATCACAAACGTTTCAATAAACATCTAAAAGCTTGTGAGTACTTTCCAATATAAGTTTTATGATTAATTTTACCTAAAAATTAAGTAATATCACGATTCTCATGTATTTTGCTCGTTCCTATTTTTCATTCAGACTAAATGATAGTTCTATTATTAACCAGATGAATTTCATTAAACCCCAAATTAATTTTGGGCCTTTGTCACTTAGTGCCCAAGAAGTTGAAACTCTCACTAAACTAGTAATGAGTAGGAATTTAAGAAAAACCATCATAACATTTTGATTTTTTTACTTAACCACGTAATAATGTAATACTATATTTGAGTTTCCAAATATAGAAATACATAATGATCATGAAGTAGGCATTGGTGGCCAAATGAAAAAAAATTTAATGGATTTTTTGAAATTTTCAATATTTAGTGAGTTTAGTGAGAATTTCAAGCTTTTTGAGGGCTTAACTATCTAATGCTCAAGCTTGAGGGTACAGTGAAATTTACCTTATTAACGAACTTAATAAATATCACCAATTGGATTAGATTGTAGAAACGGGAACGGTTCGGGAAAATTGACAAAGGGAACATTTTGGAGGTCGTACGGTTGACCACGATGACTTCGGCGGTCGACCGGAAACGTGCACGAGTACAGGATGTGTTTCTGCACTCTGGCCGGTCGACCGCCAAACCTTATAATCGATTTTTGGTTTCTGTCTTTCTGGTCTGTCGACCGCGATGATTTCGGTGGTCGACCACCTATCGGGTTTGGGCATGAGCTTCGTTTCCTATTCTGATTTTGTTTGTGTTTTGATATATAATGAAACACGATTTAAGGGTTTTGTATTGATCAGAATTTGTTCTGAATTGAGAGGGATAAGGGGTGATTTTGAGCTTTCTTGTGACAGCAAATTGGTGAGAGTTGAGAACTTTATTTGAGAGATTAATTTGAGGGTTTGTGAGTGATTTGTAATCTCTATTTTGTGTTCTCTCTCTCTCTAATAGTGGAAACCCCTTCCCTTCTTGCCCCGTGGATGTATGCAACTTGCTGAACCAAGTAAATCTCTTGTTTTGAGTTTGTGTGTTATTTTTTATTTAATTCTATGTGTGCCTTCTCTCTCGGCAACTTTGTGGAGTCTGCTACGCCACCGCACAATAAGTGGTATCAGAGCTTCGGACTATGCTTAGGGTTTGGTGGAGGAGTATCTCGCTTTGGAAGCTCTTCTAGGGTTTCAATTGGAGATAAAGGTGAGATCTTTTTGATAAAAAAATCTACCTTTTATCAGTTTGGATCTATTCTTCAGTTTGTTTCACATTAGTTTTTTGGTTCTTTGAGGAAGATGGTTGGGAAAGAAGATGCATCGGGTGTTGAGAGTGGTACTTCTGGCGTGAAGACCATTCAAAGTTTGAATATCCACTCTACAATGATAGATGCGGAGAAGGTTAATGGCACAAAAAAACTTTGGTTTATGGAGATGTGAGGTCTTGGATACGCTGAACGCACAAAATTTAGAGGATACTTTGAAATTGGATGACAAGCCGGATGATATTGAAGAAAATGTTTGGAAAAAGATGAATGGGGCGGTGTGGCATCATTAGGTCTTGTTTAACACATGATCTAAAATATGATGTGAGCAATGAGAATTTTGCAAAGAAGATTTGGAAGATTTTTGAAAGCAAGTATTTGAGTATTTGACAAAGAGTGTTAAAAATTGTTTGCATTTGAAGAGAAGACTTTACCGTTTTCAGTTAAAGAAGGGAATCTCAATTGGCGATCACATGAACAACTACATGAAGCTTCTTACGAATTTGGTGAATGTGAATGTTATGATCGAGGATGAGGACAATGCATTGTTATTGTTGAGTTCCTTATCATATAAGGAATATGAGACCTTCGTTCTTACCCTAATCAATGGGAAGACGTCTCTTTCGTATAGAGAGGTTACTATTGTTCTTGTGAATTATCAGCTAAGGAAGAAAGACAATGAGTCTTCAAACGATACAATAGCAGAGACATTGACCGCAAGAGGGAAAAGTCCAAACCGGAAGAATTAGAAATCGCAGTCTAGAGTAGGGCATCCTATAGTGGTAAAGATCAGTGTGCTTGGTGTAAAGAGACCGATCATTAGAAGAAAGATTGTCTAAAGCTCAGTGAATGAATGAAGAACAAGCAGAAGGGAAAAGGGAAACAACCATCATCAGAAGCAAACATCATCAAATCGGATGGTAATATTTCTGACTCATCTTTTTTTCGCTCTCTATCAATCCTACAGGTTGCTATTCGAAGGAATCCTAGTGGATGTTGGATAGTGGTGAAACCTATCATGTGTGCCCTAAAAGAGAATTGTTGTCCAGTTTTAAGAAGCTGCATAGTGGTGTGGTGTACATGGGTGATAATCGTGCATGCCAGATCCTTGGGATAGGTAAAATTTTCATCTGTATGATGGGATAGTTAGAGAGTTACATGGTGTAAGATATGTTTCTTCCTTGAGGAAGAACCTGATCTCGATTGGAGCTTTAGCTGGAGAGGGTTTGAAAGTTTGTATTGAGGACGTGGTTCTCGAGATTGTGAGAGGATGTTGTATTGTGATGAAGGGCGTCAGGAGGAGTAACTTGTACTACTTGACTAGAAGTACGGTGGCAGGTGAAGAGTTGACGACTTCTATTGATTCGACTAGACTGGGGTATTTTAGGTCGGGACATTCCAGTATTAATTTAGAGAAAGGTGCATTAACATGCAGTTTGAAGTCCAGTGAACATTTTGATGTGAGAAAGAAGACCAATGTGAAGTTTGACACCTCTATTCATTGAGCTAAGGGCCTTCTATATAGAGTTCACGTGGGCGTTTGGGGGCCTTCTAAGGAGGCATCATTGGGAGGTAATAGATATCTGGTTTCCTTTGTTAATGACTGATCTAGGCATGTTTGGGTTGCAACCAAGTCCTGTTTGAGTAAAGTCCTAGTAGTCTTCAACTGGTGGAAGAAGTGTATAGAGACTAAGACATACAGAAAAGGAAAAGTACTCCGTTCTGATTTTGGTAGGAAGTACAAGAAGGAACCGTTTCTGTATTTGTGCTGTACTCAGGGTATTTTGAGACACTTCGATGGAAGGGAAACTTTGGGATAACAAGATGATATGGCAGATTTGATGAGTTGTTCCTTGCTGGAGGAGGATCGGTGTTTGTTGTCAAGCAGAAGTTTGCAGAATAGGTTCTAGGCTGAGGCTTTGATATATTCGAGCCGTCATATTTACAAGTTGTCGTCTGCTGTAATTAGAGGTAAAACTCCATTGGATAGTTGGTCTGGTAGTGTCACTTTTGATGAGGCTTCGATGATGGAGCCTACTGACTCTCAGCAGGTGGAGAGTTTTGGACGGATCATAGATGTATCGCAGCGGGTGGAGAGTGATGCTACTTTGTAGGATCTGATCTAATACACACTAAAACACTAGAAGGGGGATGAATAGTGTTCTTTTTAAAAATTATGCAAAGTAGATTATAAATTGCGAGAAAGATAGAAACAATCACAGAAATTTGTAATCACAAATACAAGCTTTTATACTGGTTTTACCTCCCTAGTGTACATCCAGCCCAAGCAAATCCCGTTTGAGAGTTCCACTATGATTTTAAAAAACTATTACAAAATAAAAAGTAAACCTAACTAATTTGTAAGACCATGCAAATTGCACACAATCTCTTCAACAAGAGATCACAACTCTCACATCCGAGAGAACTTTCCTTGAATCAACAACACAATTCCTATAAGCCTTAAATGTGTAGTGATGTGCACCAGTGGCTTTAGGAACATTTTAATCTCTGGAAATTGCCTAAAATAAGTGGCATGTAGGATAAAGATCAAAGGCTATTTTAGAGAACAATTTTTTTGTCAACACTTAGACAAAAATCTGAATATAGAACTCTTGAGAATGCACAAATGTTAAAGCTTATGGATAGGAATGAATGGTGCAAATTTCTGAACTTCTAACATATTTATAGCCCTTTAAAAGATAAGTTTTTAAATCCAATTAACGGATCAAAACGGCTATAAACAGTCACAAATTTAAACTTGAAATGTCAGAAAAACTGTCTCTGTAGTTGACTATAACCCCTAGTAGTCGACTACACTGAGTTCAAACAGACTCTGCAAAGTCAAGATTTTTCTTAGTAGTCGACTACTCTAGTCATTGGTCGACTGCTCTATAAAGATATAAAATCTAGAATTCAGATTCAAATCTTAGTAGTCAATTATACAGTCTAGTAGTCGACTACAACGTAATTAGACAGAACCTTAAAAAATTAAATTTAACCTTAGTAGTCGACTACAAATAATTATTAGTCAACTACACTGTATTTTTATAGAAACTTAAAAATATGTCTATGTCTTAAGTAGTCGACTACACTATATGTTAGTCGACTACGCTGTTATTTGACAGAAAGTTGAAATTATGTCTAAGGCATGAGTAGTCGACTACTATTGTCAATAGTCGACTGCACTGTCAAATGACAGAAACTTAATATTTTGATCAGTGTGCATGTAGTCGACTATAAATCTTATTAGTCGACTACTAAGGGTTAAAAATAATATGAATGAAGTATTTTGAGACTCATTCTTTAACTATAATCTCTAATGGTTAACATAGGGAATTTCTATAGTTAACTAACACACTAAGCATGTGTTAGTATGTTCTAAACACTATGTGTGTGTATGTGGTTGTGAGTGATCAAGGCTTGTACAATAATTCTAAGTAAAATAAATGTAAAATTTATATTGTATATGTTTAAGTACTTCATCTTCTTTACTTCATATTGCCTTGAGTTCATCTTGCACTTTTGTTCACATATCTTGAGCTTATTTGAAGTTGATATCTGC